GCTCACAGCAACCTCCAACTCCTGGGCTCAAGCGAGTCTCTCTCTCTCTTTTTTTTTTTTTTTTTTGCTTGTACGAAAGGTCTTTATTGGTGGGGGGAGGGAGGCTGCAGAGCAGTACCGAGGGGGAGAGTGGGGAAGAGAAGAGAGAGAGAGTAGAGAAGAGCGAGGGGGAAGAGAGAGAAAAGAGAGCAGAGAAGGAAGGTAGAAGGAGGCAAGAGAGCCCAAGTGAGTTTCCTGCTTCAGCCTCCCAAGTAGCTGGGACCACAGGCGCCCACCACAACACCTGGCTATTTTTTGGTTGCAACCATCATTGTTGTTTGGCAGGCTCAGGCTGGATTCGAGCCCGCCACCTAAGGTGTACATGGCTGGCACCTTAGCCACCTGAGCCACAGGTGCCGAGCCAAGTTACACATTCTTAAATGCACATACATGGAAGACAGTCCTCATAATGAGGCTGTGCTAGACCAGATAAGTACTAAAATTTACATATATATCCATTGCTTTTTAAATTTCTTAAGTTTATTCCTTGTTTCAGTAAATTTATGACATCTCTTCTAGAAAACAGACACTGAGTTTTTGCTCTCCTCCCCCTCTCCCTCTTTGCCTGGCTAAAGCTGAAAGGGCCCTGGGAAAGGAGATCATTGTAACTTCCCAGGGCCCTGTCCTAAGCGGGGAGGGTCCTTCTCAAATACTCTTCCATACAGGGCCATGACTAAAACAGGCAAAGGGGCTCCACTTCGGCTCTTCAGACGTCCATCTCTTGAAACCTGGTCAAAGAAAGCAATGGATTAACTCCAATGCAAGACTCACTTTCAAGCTTTCTCTGGGGATGTCCCTCCTAAAGCTGCACAGAATAGTAAAAGTCACACAACATTTGTCAGAAGACCCCAGTGCATGTTTCAGGTCCAATGGCAGAGGGACTTTGGGTGAAAGTACAGCAAATCTGTTGTATAGGTAGTCAAACTAAGATAATGTATTAAACAGTTCCTTTATCTCATAAAACACTACACAAAGTATTGATTACAGCTATCATTATTATAACTTCTGAAAATAACACTGAAAAAATTAGTTGTAGATGCATTCTTCAACGTCCTTAACTTGAACCTTTTAAACCATGCAGATGAAGAGAACATTAGTTACCATTATCAGTGCTCCGTATTTTTACTTTAATTTCTCTATGAATTCACTGCTGCCTTGGATCTCAACATCACATCCATGCAAAAAAATGAACATTGAAGTCTCCATCACAGCCTAAAAGCAATCTAAAAGCACAATTAGTATTTCGCATCATAGTTTCCATTTGTCTTTAAAGTGTCTCATTAGGGCGCCTGTGGCTCAAGCGGCTAAGGCACCAGAGCTGCCGGTTTGAATACAGCCTGGGCCTGCCAATCATCAATGACAACTACAACCAAAAAATAGCCAGCTGTTGTGGTTGGGTGCCTGTATCCCCAGCTACTTGGGAAGCTGAGGCAAGAGACTCGCTTAAGCCCAGGAGTTGTAGGTTGCTGTGAACTGTGATGCCACAACACTCTACCCTGGGTGACAGCTTGAGGCTCTGTCTCAAAAAAAATAAAAAATTAAAAAATGAAGTGTCTCGTTAGAATTCGAGGCACAGTACTGTGATACTCTCATTATTTCAGAGATTTCATTATGCTGGTTTACCCCCATCTGCTTGAAGAAATGTATCATCCTGAAAACCTCCTACCTCATAATGTGTTTCAGGGGCAAGCTGAGTCCCACTGAGAATGAGCTGTGGGAAAACATAGATTGTTCCAAATGTGCCGCTGAGGGAAAATTCTTCAAACTTGGTAAAAGCTGACCCCACAGGTTCTCCACAAGTTCTGAGGTCGGTGGTCTGACACTTCAGTAATGTGCATATCTATGTAGAAAAAAAAGGGGGGAGTCAGAAAACTTGCAAGTACTTTCTCAGCTAAACAACACGATTTCAAAGAATAGAGGAATATTTAAATTGCCTCATAAACAGCACTTTTCAAACTGCATGTCAAATCTTGCTAGTCAATCCTAAAATCAATTTCATGGGTCAGAATTAGCTCTTAAAAAATAATGAAGCCAAATAAAATAGAATAGGGTTTTTTAAATCAGAGACCATTGCATATAATTACAGCTATTTCTAATTTTAACTTGAACTGTTTCCTTCTTGGCCTGGACTCCAGGTGAAGACAGTGTAAAACATTACTCTAAAGTTACCTGATGGAAAAGAGAATGCACAGAAGTTGTAGCTTTTTCAACTTGAACCTGGCCTGCTGAGACCTAACCAATTTACTTTATATTTCTGCCTTGTGGCCATAAGAACTAATTCTGTTCTTGCTAAGATTGAACAAATAAAGTGTTCTGGGCAGAAAGTTCAGTGACAAAGTGACTGTCTGAATCCAGCACCATTTTCAAAAAAAGCAATGATGACCTAGAAGAAAAACTACTAATAAGACCATTCTAACATATTTAAGCATTTCTACCTGCAAGTAATATTGGCCTTCCACTGTGTGCAGTCCATCAAATGCTCCTAGTGCATAGACCTCGTCTGTTCGCTTCTCAGACATCTTGTAAGACAAGTGACAACACAGCTCTTTCTGGCAAACTGTATAATTTCCTGTGTTTTTTGTAAGCTCAGTGAAGGTAAACTCATCAAAATAAATCATTCCTGAAAAATCCGCCTGCTCAGAGGAGAAGGGCTTGATACTTCTGGCATAAGCCTGCCAGTCAACACCTGCTGGGTAGGTGGGCTCACGGCGAGGCCGAGACTTCAATTCCGAAAGCATCAGCTGGCCACTCTCTGTTTCCATGTCATAGTGATACACCTTGACTGCTTCTGGGGCGTAGATTCCACTCCCTACAAGCAACAAATATGGTTTCTGATTTTTTATGATGATAAAATAATAGGACATTTCCATGCAAAATCAAATAGAAAGTTATTAAAGCATAAACATTTTCAAAATAGTTGTGGAGATAGCTGTGACACTGGCATAAGTTCCAATTGGATGCCACATCCTCCATAAGGTACTATTGGCACTGAAATTATCATCTGATATGCAGAAATTGTTCTGGGTTTTTTTTTTTTTAATTTTTCCTTCCCTCCCTCCCTCCCTCCCTTCCTTTTCTTTTTTCTTGAGACAGAGTCTCATTTTGTCACCCTCAGTAGAGTGCCATAGTGTCATAGCTCACAGCAACCTCAAACTCTTGGACTCAAGTGATTCTCTTGCCTCAGCCTCCCAAGTAGCTAGGACCCTCCACAATGCCTGGCTATTTTTTTTTTTTTTTTTGAGACAGAACCTCAAGCTGTCCCCTTGGGTAGAGTGCTGTGGCATCACAGCTCACAGCAACCTCCAACTCCTGGGCTCAAGCGAGTCTCCTGTCTCAGCTTCCCAAGTAGCTGGGACCACAGGCGCCCACCACAACACCCAGCTATTTTTTGGTTGCAGCCATCATTGTTGTTTGGCGGGCCCGGGCTGGGGATTCGAACGCGCCACCTTAGGTGTATGTGGCTGGCGCCTTAGCCACTTGAGCCACAGGCGCCAAGCCAACGCCTGGCTATTTTAAAAGATGGGGTCTCACTCTTGCTCAGGCTCATCTTGAACCCGTGAGCTCAGGCAATCCACCTGCCTTGGTGTCCCAATAAAAGCTGAGTGGAACTGACACTTGGAGCCACTGCCAGAACCCCATTAGTGGGTGGTGGTCCCTTGAGTTCCCACCTTTGAAAATCTATTCTGTGTATTTTGTCTCTTTCTCATTTCTAACTTTATATTTCTTCAGTTGGTCGCCACTAGATCCACAGGTCTTAATGGACCCTGCCTCTGGGGCAGGACCCCAGCAGTAGAAACACATCTCACTTTGCTCAGGCTGGTCTTGAACTCTCAGCTCAGGCATTCTACCCCTCTCAGCCTCCCAGAGTGCTAGGATTACAGGCATGAGCCACCACACCCGGCCCTTTTTTCTTTTTCCTGTACTTCAGCCTACTGAGTAGTTGGGACTACAGGTGTGTGCCACCATGCCAAGCTAATTTTTCGTTTTCTCTAGAGACAGGGTCTTGCTATGTTCCCCAGGCTGGTCTCAAACTCTGGGTCTCCAGTAATTCCTCCCAAAGTTCTGGGATCACAGGTATGAGCCACTGCACCCAGCTCCCCCTCTTAAGCTAACTTAAGAACAAACTAGAAGATTCCTAACATTTATCTCTCCACTGACTAATTTGTTCATGTTTGGGATTTCCTACCTGGATCAACAAATAACAAAGCAGTCAGGAGGAGAGCTTGCATTACTTTGAACATAAATCCCATAAAGGATAAACCCTAAAAATCCGATTAACTCTAAAGTGATCTTACTGCCTTGACAAGATTTATTTAATGTTATTAACAGACATCAGCTGGGAAGTTCCTCAGATCTGGCTTTGATTTTTTGCATCACTAGACTTCTCTCTTACTCCAATTTCCTCTCAAGTAAAATTGACATAATAATGTTTGCCTCCTTTACTCAAGAGAAAAATGTGCCTTAGTAGAAACCCAAGCTATCATTAATTTTGTGATGTTAGAATTGTTAAGAGAATCATTAACGAAAAGTGGGCTTGAAAATTAATGAAGACTAGCCAGGAAGACTGTCACTGCCACTTGGAGCCTGACCTGTGTGGGTTACCTGTCATGTGCATGCTGGTGTTGTGGGTATTGGCAGCAAGCAGATTCACTCCCATAGCTCTGGCCCATGCCGAATGGAATGGAACAGCCGAGAGAAGGGGCAGTGTGTTGTACCATGCTGTGGGGTAAAGGACACTGTCCACTTCAAAATTCTTCACCACCACCACAGCCGGGTCATGAGAAAAAATGTCAAAGCAAGTAAAAATGCCAAACTTCCCAAAGGGAGTGTCAAATGTCACAAATTCTGAATCCTTGGGGAAATCAAATTGAATTTCAGGTTCAAAAAGATTGTACTGTTAATAAAAAGCAAAGAAAGAGAAAATTAGTAAGAAAATTGCTAAATCAATGTGATCAATACCCATTAAAACTTCCCCCATGTTTGTTGGTGTGCATATTTAAGACTATTACCAATTTGCATAAATCATGCTTACTATCTCACTGGCTATGAGTTTTCTTACTGTGACATCAAAAATTTTCATTTTCTAGCCGGGTGTTGTGGCAGGCTCCTGTAGTCCTAGCTACTGGGGAGGCTGGGACAAGAGAATCACCTAAGCCCAAGAACTGGAGGCCGCTCTGAGTTGTGATACCATGGCACTCTACTGCGGGGGACAAACTGAGACTCTGTCTCTAAAAAAAAAAGTTCATTTTCTATAAGCAATAAATGAAATTGTATTTGAAAGTGATATTTACAAAGAGTATTTATATATTAGAAGTCAAACACTGAGGCTGGGCACCATGGCTCATGCCTGTAATCCTAACGCTCTGGGAGCCCCAGGAGGAAGGATTACTTGAGCTCACAAGTTTGAGACCAGCCTGAGCAAGAGCGAGACCCCATCTCTAAAATAAAAGGTGGGCATTGTGGCAGGTGCCTGTCGTCCCAGCTTCTTGGGAGGCTGAGGCAAGAGGATTGATCAGACCTAAGAGTTTGAGGTTGCTGTGACGTGTTTGAGGTTGAGTGTGACACCACGGTATCATACTCTTGGTAGGTGTCAACACTCTACCAAGGGTGACATTGTGAGACTGTGTCTCAAGAAAAAAAAAGAAAAAGAAAAAGAAAACTAGTCAGGCATTGTGGCAGGGGCATGTAGTCCAAGCTACTTGTGACACCGAGACAAAGGGGATCCCTTGAGCCCAAGGGTTTGAGGTTGCTGTGAGCTAGCATGCCAGGGCACTCTACCCAGGGCACACAGTGAGACTATTAAAAAAAAAAAGAAATATTCAAATCTTGAATCTTAAGATTTTCAGATTGTTTTCTGCTGTATTTAAATTTTAATAGCACTGCCCAGATAAACTCTCAAATACGTTAATAAAATAAACTCTGTCTTGTCTCCGTATGATACTGCTAGGTTAATATGAATAGAAGTAGAGTCAATTTAAAGTGAATTTAGACAGTGCAGTAGCTATGTCTTGTAAGTTATTATTCCATTAGTAATTTTATTTACTTTCATATGTATGTATATTCAATATTGTGTATGTGTGAGAGAGAAAGAGAGACACGGTCTCTCTCAGTTGCCCACTGCAGATGGTGTGCACATAGGTGTCAGGTGTGTGCCACAGCTCCCACTATTTTTTTTGTTTTTTGTATAGACAGGGTCTGACTGTGTTGTACAGGCTAGTCTCAAACTCTTGGCCTCTAGTGGTTTTCCCTCCTTTGCCTCCTGGAGTGCAGGGATTATAGGCATGAGCCACTGTGCCAAGCTAGCAATTTTTTTTTTTCAGCTGATTATTGCTCCAAAGCTCCACTTGACCTGACACTGAGGCGGACAGCATGTGTTTTGCTCCGGTTTTCACGTGGCCTGATGTGTGCAGGCCTGTGCTCTGACAATTGTGACCACCAGTGCCAGGGTCCACTGAGGAAGATCTTGCTCTTCCATTCTCCTTCCGTGTGGAAGGAGGTGTGACTGGCGCCTTCCTCTGCAGTGACCAGCTCAGGAAAGAAATGTGGCCTAATTGGAATCAAGGAGTGGTAAGGCCTTTGCAGGGTTTCTAGGAGAGAGAAATTCACTCTTTCCTAAGGTGACTAGATTTTAACATTGGTAAAGCGGGACACCATTGATGGGGGTTGGGGGGTGGGAGGGTGGTTCTTAATTAAAAATTTGGTCTATATGGAGCAACAAAAATTTTCATAGAACGCAAAAATAGCATTGTAATATATATATTTTTAATTTCAACATAAGCACAATTTACAAACATAATACATTTAAAAAACTCATGTATAGGGCAGCACCTGTGGCTCAAAGGAGTAGGGCACCCAATCCACTGGGTGACTTTGCCCAGGAGGGGAGTAGAGAGTTTACATTAACCTTTTCATTTCCAAATGAAGTTACATTAACCTCTTCATTCCCAAATGGAGTTATATTAACCTTTTCAGCAGCTGAAAACTGTATATTCCCTTCCCGTTGTCCCACTGTTTCCTAGCTTGTGGTGCATTCTTTCCAAAAATCAGGACTTTTTTAAAACACTGCAGGACACGGGACAAATTGTTAAAAAGCGGGACGCCTGGTCACCTTACTCTTTCCGTGGATGATGTTCATAAGGATGTGAATTTTTGTTGCTGTAGCCATTGGCTTCTAAAAGAAGGGTTACCCTGAGAAAAAGCTGTACCAAAGGGCTAAGAGAGCTTCTGAGCGTCTCAGGGACAGCCTGTGCCTGAAATGAGACCCACTCAACCTGAAGAGAGACCCACCCTTTATGTTTTTTTTCAGGTAAAGGAAATTCCCCTGTTTGTTAAAGCCAATTTCATTTGAGTTTTCATTTCTATTGAAATAAAAAAAGGCTTAATGGAATACATGGTAGCTTAGTATAAAGTGTTAATAAACTGGGCCAAAAAAACCCTCTTGACATTAAATTGTGAATGAGACCAAGCATTTCTTTTTCTTTCTCAGAGAATATTAAGATCTTTGTGAGATTATCACGTCCATTTTTAATATTCTGCCATACTCTATTTTATGGTTAATTCAAACTCAGAACTCTCATATTTGTGTGAAGTAAATTAAATACATTTTTTAACTAGAATGTAATAATTAAGAGATGCATCTCTAGGAGTTTTCTGCCCAACATTCAGCAAACAAACATACGTACAAGCCACAAATGACTTCAGTTGAGGCAAAAGGGATACTTACCTTATGGTAGCGTGCCACCAGCCTGCCCTGAGAATCGAAAACCACGTCAGTGTTATATTGGTAATGGCCATCGGGAGGACACTGAGGGTCACTGGTATTGCATGGCTTCTTGTCCCCCAAATTTGCCACAACATAGATAGAGTTGTCTTTGGCCAGGCAGCTGAGTCTTTCTTGCACTGGTGTATAGCCGAATCTAATTCAACAGACATTTCCTCAAAGTTACTATATTTTAGTGATTTCTGAAATATCAAAGTGATATTTTATTTGCCTGTTATCTATTATATGACAGCTCTAGGTCAAGAATCCACAGACAAGATTTTAAAACTCACATGCAGTATATTATTCGTCATAATGAAAGCTAATTTTAATGTGCCAGACTCCAGATCACAAAGCAAGACTGACACAGAAAAGCCAGGAAAGGAGGAAAAGAAGCAACACTTTCAGCGTGGCCCGGAAGGCAAAGGAAGGGCTTGAAATTTACACTCTTCTAATGGCGAGGACCTTGTTTACAATCCAAGCCATAGTATTACATATATGTTGTTATGACATGTGGTTGGAAACATAAATATTAGGTAGCAGTAAGTAGAAGGTTCTCTGTAGAGCATCTCCTGCAAAGCACAAATACAGCATTATTGGGGGAAATGTTTTTGTTTTATTTTGTTTTTTAAAAAAAGCACTTCACTGTCCTGGCTAGGTTTCCTCATCTGTCAAATGAAACATAACAGCTTCCTTTTGCCTTAGAGTCCTCATGAGAAATCTTAAGACAAGTACTGACATGAAATTCCTTTGCAAAGTAATGCCAAATTCTTATACATTGGGGATATTTACCCTAGAAATAAAAGGGAATGTGGTAAGGGGACACTGACTTCAAGTGTTTTAAAAGCTAGGCCAGGCGTGGTGGCTCATGCCTGTAATCCCAGCACTCTGGGAGGTCAAGGAGGGCAGATTGAGCTCAGGAGTTCAAGACCAAGCTGAGCAAGAATGAGACCCCCATCTCAACTAAAAACAGCAGGTTGTTATGGTGGGTGCCTATAATCCAGCTACTCAGGAGGCTGAGGTAAGAGGATCACTCAAGCCCAAGAGTTTGAGGTTGCTGTGAGCTATGACACCACAGCACTGTACCAAGGATAACAAATAAAGCTGTATCTCAAAACAAACAAACAAAAATATTTGAAAGGCTTAATTTGGAGAAGAAGGCTTGTATAAGTGAATATACTCTGGAGTGCAGAACAAAGATGAAAGAAAGTTATAAAGAGGCAGATTTCTGCAGAAAACAAGATTTTAAAAAGTTTTAGCAATGAGCTCACTCTGTCAAATAAGGGGATTTGCTAGTCACTGAATATTTTAGAGCCCATTTAGTTAGAACAGCTTAATGAAAATGGCTATTTTAATTTCGGCTAACCTAATTATCTGTTTTGAGACCTTAAGCCTCATTTCTTTCTCATATTTAAAATGCAAATAGTAATATCTACTCCATAAATTGGATGAGATAATGTGCATAGAATGCCAGGTACTATTCCCAGGACCAAGTAAATGCTCAATAAATTAAAACTGGCTGAGATAAAAATGGATTTTGTAATCATGAGAAGTTAGCCAGGGGAGGGCAACCCAAGGAGGGATGACTTCATTGCTTTCTGAAGACATTCAGGGTCTCTCCATGATTTCTCAGCTGCTCTGCAATTGATTTCAGACTAATCTTTAAATTAAAATAACAGGTTGGGTGGGGCAACTCACACCTGCTATCTCAGCACTTTGAAAAACCAAGGCAGGAGGATTGCTTGAGCCCTCTAGTGTGAGACTAGCTTGAGCAACATAGTGAGACTTCATTGCTACAAAAAATAAAAACATTAGCTGGGGTGGTGCCCTCAGTGGGTAGGACGCAGGCCACATACACCAAGGGTAGTGGGTTCGAACCCAGCCCAGGCCTGCTAAACAACAATGACAACTGCAACAACAACAACAAAAGCCAGGCATTGTGGCGGGCACCTGTATTTCCAGCTCCTTGGGAGGCTGAGGCAAGAGAATCACTTAAGCCCAAAAGTTTGAGGTTGCTGTGAGGTGTAACGTCATGGCACTCTACCAAGGGTAACAGAGTGAGGCTGTCTCCAAAAAAGAAAAAAAAAACATTAGCCAGGCATAATGGTGTTTACCAGCTACCTGGGAGGGTGAAGTGGGAAGATTGCTTGAGCTCAGGAGGTTACAGTAAGCTATGATCACACCAGTGCCCTCTAGCCTGGGTGATAGAATAAGGCCCTATCTCTAGAAAGTAAATAATAAATAAATAGGACAGATTAATTATCTATTAGTTTAGACCTTTTCTTTTTTTTCCTTCAAGAAAAACAGATGGCTGGGCACCCATAGCTCAGTGGTTAGGGCGTCAACCACATGCTTAGGGGCTGGTGGGTTCGATCCTGGCCTGGGCCTGCTAAACAAAAAAAAAAATCTGGTGATTGTGGAGGGTGCCAGTAGTCCCAGCTACTAGGGAGGCTGAGGCAAGAGAATTGCTTGAGCCCAAGTGTTCGAGTGAGATTCTAGCTCAAAAAAAAAAAAAAAAAGAAAGAGAAAGAAATATACTATCAGTATTCCTATTTTCTCAGACCTTTAATAAATCTACCATGTACTTTGCTTAATTTTTCTTTTCCTGGCTAAATAATTCACATTCTTTAGTGTTTCTTATTAGCTCCTCATAAAAAAAGCCCAAGGACGTGTTTGGCTTGTGGCATTCTAAATAGCAGTATTTAAATACATGTGGATGACCACACAGCCCTCAAGTATCCCTTTCAGGGATAAATATTACTAAGGAAGAAACTGTGCCTTTCTTTTCCAGTACCACCATAATGTTAATGATTGGATTTCTCCTTTTTATAACACAGAGCTCAAAGCTTAGCATTGAATATGGATGTACAAGACGTCATAATTGTTAAAGTTTCATCAGTCACCTTTTTTTTTTTTTTTTTTTTGAGACAGAGCCTCAAGCTGTCCTCCTGGGTAGAGTGCAGTGGTATCACAGCTCACAGCAACCTCCAACTCCAGGGCTCAAGCGAGTCTCCTGCCTCAGCCTCCCAAGTAGCTGGGACCACAGGCGCCCGCCACAACGCCTGGCTATTTTTTGGTTGCAGCCGTCATTACTGTTTGGCAGGCCCGGGCTGGATTCAAACCCACCACCTTAGGTGTATGTGGCTGGCGCCTTAGCCACTTGAGCCACAGGTGCCGCGCCAGTCACCTTCTTAATTTAAAGCAATTCGCCTACAGCTAATTGTCGGATTTATGTGTATCTTTCCCCTAGGAAAGTCAGTTTTATCAGCACAATCCAACAGAGTGTGTTTTAATGCAGGCCTCATCATGAAATAGGGCAAATAATGATTCTTTCCTGTTTTGGGGAAGAGCAACAGTTATGAAATAACTGTTGACTCATAGTCACTTGGTTTCTGTAAACACAGACCATGCAACATTTATAGTATACTTGTCTAGAGGTGAAAACCCCAGGGTGAAACTTGACTCACATACCAGAACTCCAGTGCTGTAGTATTAGACTTGACTTTCCGGTTGATTTCACATAGTCAAAGAAGTTCCTTATTTATTTATTTATTTATTGAGACAGAGTCTTACTATGTTGCCCTCAGTAGAGTGCCATGGTGTCAAGGCTCAGAGCAACCTCAAACTCCTAGGTTTAAAGGTTTCTCTTTCTTCAGGGTTGGGAGTAGCTGGGAAACAGGTGTCTGGCACAATACCCAGCTAGAGGGCTGGGCTTGGTGCCCCACGCCTGTAATCCCAGCACTGTGGGAGGCTGAGGTGAGTGGATTGCCTGAGCTCACAGATTCGAGACCAGCCTGAGCCAGAGTGAGACCCCATTTCTAAAAATAGCTGGGTGTTGTGGTGGGCGCCTGTAGTCCCAGCTCCTTGGGAGGCTGAGGCAAGAGAATTGCTTTGACGTTGCTGTGAGCTGTGACACCATGGCACTGTACTGAGGGTGACAAAGTGAGACTCTATCTCAAAAAAAAAAAGAAAAAAAATACACAGCTAGGTTTTCTAGTTTTAGCAGATACCAAGTATCCATGTTCTTCCTCAGGCTGGTCTTCAACTCCTGAGCTCAGGTGATCCACCAGCCTGGGCCTCCCAGAGTGCTAGGATTATAGGCATGAACCACCATGCCTGGCCGAGAGGTTCTTTTTATGCAATAGATGTAATTTTAAACATGTGCATGCATAGCAAATTAAATTATTTTTCACCATTTAAAGGAGCCTTTTTTTTTTTTTTTGGTAGAGATGAGGTCTTGCTATGTTGCACAAGCTGGTCTCAAACTCCTGGGCTTAAGCAATCGTCCTGCCTCAGCCTCCCAACGTGCTGGGTTTACAGGTGTCAGTCCCCATGCTTAGCCACACATTAAGTATTTTAAAAAGTCAATAACTTGCTGGGCATGGTGGCTCACAACTGTAATCCTAGCACTCTGTGAGGCTGAGGAGGGTGGCCTGCCTGAGCTCATGAGTTTAAGACCAGCCTGAGCAAGAGTGAGACCTCATCTCTAAGAAAAAAAATAGCTGAGCCTTGTGGCCAATGCCTACAGCCCAGCTACTTGGGAGGCTGAGGCAAGAGGATGCTTGAGCCCAAGAGTTTGAGGTTGCTGTGAGCTACGATGTCACAGCTCTCTACCCAGGGCAACAGAGACTACCTCAAAAAAAAAAAAGGGTAAATACTCCTACAATAATGTAGTTTATCCATTTTTCATATTTATTATATATCTTTTCTTTAAGGAAATTATGCCTAAACTGTAACTATTAATAATTCCTAAAATCTTTCTAAGGACAAGAAGACAAGCAAGTTCACACTCAATATTTTTCTATTATAAAAGAGTAATAGTGACGGCTAGCACTGGAGAGCCCACTACAATGTGCAAATTCGATGTGTATTATTTCATTTGCCATTCATTTACGCTAAACAAAGTAGAACAGAAAATTTAAAGATATAGAAATGTCAAACACTTAGGTCATATGCCCACATCCCTCAGCTGGGAGGCTGTAAAATGTGGTTTCACAAACAGTGCTTCCTTTTTCAAATTCTATGCAATTTTCATTCACCGTATTGATTACACTTGATACTGATAGCAAAGCTCTTTGGAAACAGACTCATTCGACTTTTCACTGTTCCTATGAGAGAGACAGCTGTTCATAGGTGAACCAACTTATCTGTATTGGGTAGCCCAGGTTATAGATATTACACCTTTCTCACTTCATTGAAACCCAATTAAATGCATTTATTGTAAGAACTGTGTATACATACACTATTCTATTTTTTTTTTACACACACTATTCTTTAAAGACAGTTGTGACAAGTAACCACCCAAGCATCATTATCTCAAGTCATTCACAAGATAGGAGATATGCCAGGTGATATACATTTAGAAGCATTAGAGGCATCTAAATCCTATGCTATAGATTGACCATTTGTCAACAAAATTACTAGTCATGCTTAAAAATCAAAGGGTAATGACAAGACCTACCTCTGGGGATCTCTGCATGGGATCCAGTTCACTTCAGGGTCTGGTATATCCTCCAGATAGGGGTAAATGTTCTCTCTGGTGAAGACCCAGCCATAGATTCCATCTTCTGGGGTCACAATGATGTGTGCACCCTGCTCCAACCAAGTGGGACAAAAGAGTTTCCCATGAATTTCAAATACTCACACACTGACCAGGCTGCAAATCTCCTTTATGATATCCCACTCGATATTAAAAGAGAAAAAAAAGGGAAATACCTGCTTGGCTGCCAGCTTTACTGCTTTCTCCAAAACATCTATATTCTTGTTCATCAGGAGCAAAGCTGCTTCTTTTGAAACAGGGGTGTCAGTTCTGTTTGGTAATATAACAGCGTGCTCATACACTGCAGCAATGAAAGTATCCAGTGCACCGACACTCAGGACAAAGAGGGCAGAAAGTGCCACACACTTTGGAAAGTACGATCTAATCATTGTTAAAATGTAGTGAGTTCAGAAAACAAATGTAGATCCTTATACTTTGTTTCATGGGAAAAAAATTTATATCTCTTCCAGCCACCAGATGTATTTACATGTTCAGGAACACATTACACAACTCAGCACTGAGAAAGGATCTTGTGCAAGAAAACCGACAGCCAGAAGCAAATAAGTGGATTGACTCAAGTGTGGAGTACTGCTGTTGTCATTGTTCAGAGGTCAACCCAGCTCTACAAGTAGAGTTGTTGAGCCAAACAGGTGAGTTCACTCCAGACCAAAACACATTGGCAGGTGAACTCTTTTCTTTTAGTAAAGTAAAATAAAATTTTCCTTGGTAAATAAATTTTTCCATCAATAGAGCAATGTTGACAGTTCTAGAAGGTTCCCACCATAGCACCAATTTTTTGAGCACTCTACTTATTTGATGGTATGCTCATTTCTCTCTTAAAAACTCTTGCTATCCATTTAAGCTCTAGCTCCTCCCACATCCACCCCAATCCCAGGCAACATTTGAACTCTTATAAAACTCTTATTGCAAATTTGTTCCTGTGCTGTTAAAAGTCTCACTGCTTCCTCTTGTCTTTTTTTAAAAATTAAATCATAACTGTATACATTTATGGGGTACAATGTGATGGTTTGGTATACAATGTGGAATGTTTAAATCAAACTGATTAACATAACCATTACCTCACTTCTTTTTTTTGAGACAAAGTCTCACTCATGGCGTCACAGCTCCCAGCAACCTCAGACTTTTGGGCTCAAGTGATTCTCTTGCCTCAGCCTCCTGAGTAGGCTGGGACTACAGGCGTCTGCCGCAACACCCAGCTATTTTTTAGCGACAGGGTCTCACTCTTGTTCAGGCTGGTCTCGAACTCCTGAGCTCAAGCAATCCACACACCTCAGCCTCCCAGAGTGCTGGGACTACAGGCGTGAGCCACCATGCCCAGCCTCATTTACTTATTTTTTTGTGGTAAGGCATTTATAATTTACTCTTAGTTATTTTGAAGTGTATTCTTGTATTGTGTATTAGGCGAGATCCCACCCCATGCCCTCCCTCCTCCCAGCCATTGCCCTCCCCTCCCCCTCCTCTCTCCCTCTTTTCCCCTCTCTCTTGCCTCACTATATTTGTGTTTTACCATTTGTGTGAATGTGTAAGTGTTGATATATTCACAATATTATTATGTATATTGGATTTTTTTTTCTTTTCTTTCTTTCTATTTTTGTCGACCACTTTGTCACACTTGGTATAGTGCCCTGGGGGTCATAGCTCACAGCAACCTCAAACTCTTGGGCTCGAGAGATTCTCTTGCCTCAGCCTCCTCAAATAGCTGGAACTACAGGCACCCGCCACAACGCCTGGCTAGTTTTAGAGATGAGGTCTCGCTCTGGCTCAGGCTGGTCTCGAACCTGTAAGCTCAGGCAATCCACCTGCCTCAGTTTCCCAGAGTGCTAGGAATGTAGGTGTGAATCCCACACCCAGCCCTTTTTTTCCATTCTTGAGATACTTTACAAAGAAGGATGTGTTTCAACTCCATCCAAGTAAACATAAAAGATGTAAAGCCTCCATCTTTTTTAATGGCTTTTTAAATTCCTTGGTATACTATACCACAATTTGCTAATCCATTCATGTATTGATGGGCATTTGGGCTGTTTCCATGACTTGGCAATTATGAAGTAAGCTGCAATAAACATTCTGGTGCAAATGTCTTTGTGGTAAAATGATTTTTGTCCTTCTGAGTAAGTAACTAGTAATGGAATTGCAGGTTCAAGTGGAAGGTTAACTTTTAATTCCTTAAGGATTCCCCATACTTCTTTCTTTAAAGGTTGTATTAGTTTGCAATCCCACTAGCAGTGTTGAAGTGTTCCCTTTTCTCCACATCCATGCCAGCATCTGCTGCTTTGGGGCTTTGTGATGTGGGCTATTCTTGCCAGGGTTAGATATCTCAGGGTGATTTTGATTTGCATTTCTCTGATGATTAAAGATGATGAGTATTTTTTTCAAGTGTTTGTTGACTATTCATCTGTTATCTTCAGAGAAGTTTCTGTTCAAGTCTCTTGCCCATAAAGAAATGGGGTTGTTTATTCTTTTCTATTGATTAATTTGAGTTCTCTATAAATTATAGTTATCAGACTTTTATCCAAATCATAACATGCAAAAATCTTCTCCCATTCCAAAGGTTGTTTCTTTGCTTTAGCTGTCCAGATGCTTTTTAGCTTGATCAAATCCCAGTAATTTGTTTTTGGTATTGCTTCAATTGCCAGGGAGGGTCTTCCTCATAAAACATTTGCCCACTCCAATCTCTTCAGTGTTTTCCCTGCACTCTCTTCTGGTCTTTTTATAGTTTCATGTCTTATATTTAAATCTTTTTTCCAGTGAGAATCAATTTTTATTAGAGGTGAGAGGTGTGGGTCCAGTTTCAGTCTTCTACAGGTCGCCAGCCAGTTCTCCCAGCACCATTTGTTAAATAGGGATTCTTTTCCCAGTGAATGTTTTTGTTAGACTTATCAAAGGTCAAATGACTATATGTGGCAGGGTTCATCTCTAGATTCTCTTCCCATTCCACATATCTACATCTCTATTTTTGTGCCAGTACAATGCTGTTCTGATCACTATAAATTTGTAGTATAACTTGAAGTCTGGTAGTATGATGCCTCCAGATTTGTTCTTAAGTACTGTATTGGCTATTTGGGTTTTTTTCTGATTCCATATTTGAACATGGCAGATTTTTAGAACATTCTTTCTTGTGTTGAGATGCAATTTACTCCATCTCTTAAATCATTTATCTTTCAGACATGTGATCTTTTTAAGTTCCTTAAGGACAGGGGCCACATTTCAATTCTCTGCTGCTCCTTTGAAATTTTATACTGTGCTAAGCTCTGCAAATGCTTTTTGTGACAATCAGTTTCCTTGCCTAATTTTGGATTGAGTCCCCTTATTTGAATATGAGTTTCTCATAAGGTTTAAATCCATCTCTGGTCCTGGAGTCATTAATACTGTTTCTCTCTTGTTATTCTAATTCTTTTTTTTTTTTTTGAGACAGAGCCTCAAACTGTCCCCCTGGGTAGAGTGCCGTGGCATAGCTCACAGCAACCTCCAATTCCTGGGCTCAAGCGAGTCTCCTGCCTCCGCCTCCCAAGTAGCTGGGACCACAGGCGCCCACCACGACGCCTGGCTATTTTTTGGTTACAGCCATCATTGTTGTTTGGCGGGCCTGGGCTGCATTCGAACCCACCACCTCAGGTGTATGTGGCTGGTGCCTTAGCCACTTGAGCCACAGGCACCGAGCCATTCTTTCTGATTCTTACCTGATCTAAGGAAACTTGTAGATTTTGGAGATTTGTGGGCATTTTTTGTTTGTATGGTTCTATAATTCAAAGTCCATCAGTTTAAATAATATTATCCATTATTTATATATATCCATATGTCCATGTCCTAGTGTGTTTTCATGTGTCCTTATGCATTGAGATGAAATACATCAGATATCAATTCTTTCGGAATAAAAGAAGGAAACCATGTGTGACACAGATGGATTGCTTTGTGATAAGAACAAAAAATATTTTCATATTTCAAATAGACAGCGCCCTACTCCTTTGAGCCACAGGCACCGCCCTTAACTCCTGTCTTGGTTCACATGACTTTCTGGATGGACTCCAAAGGCAACATGTGAGAATTCCCCTTCATTTTCCCCAATTCCTACTTCCAGGAAATGTACCAGCCTTTTATTATGTTGAAATCAATAGATACTTGAGTATTTCATTACCAAACGTGGTTAATGATGAGTTCACTTCTTTCATATGTGAGGAATCAGGATTGCACATACAAGTTTTTTTAAAACCAGGTATTTGTGCATAATCCAAATGATAGTTTGGAATTATTGTGCCAGTAGAAAGGTTAAGGTGTGAAGTTTTGTTTTAAAATAAATGTAATTCTGCCTTTAAGTAGTAAGTATTTTCTATACTTTTAAAGAGGAGAAGAGGTCCTGGAATAAAATCTCTGAGTTCCTTGGCCCTTCCCAAGTCTTTACTTCTAAAGTCTTTACTTCTGAGTGTGGGGAAGCTTCCTCCCATTCCCACCGCAGGGTCCTGACCCCAGGACCAAGAATCCCTCTTATAGGCTCTGATCCCATTCTTCTCACTCTAACCCTCAATACTGTCATCATTGGAGTTTCCTTAACTGTTTTTTTGTTTTTTTTTTTAGAGACAAAGTCTCACTTTGTCACCCTCAGTAGAGTGCTGTAACATCACAGCTCACAGCAACCTCTAGCTCTTGAGCTTAGGAGAGTCTCTGGCCTCAGCCTTCCAAGTAGCTGAGGCTAAAGGTGCCTAGCACAGCGCCCGGCTATTTTTTGTTGCAGTATGGCCGGGGCTGAGTTTGAACCCACCACCCTGGGTATATGGGGCTGGCGCCCTACTCAGTGAGCCACAGGCTCCCCCCCTTAACTGTTTCATTAGTTAAGATGCTTCCCAGGTGTATCAAATCGAGGAGAACAATCAGTGCTTTCTCTCACCTGGTCGCATTTTGTCTTTCCTCTTCTTAGCTAAAATCACTCTTCTTACTATGTTTAACACGATTACTGCTGCTCTGATCCTGGAATGACTGCTCACTGGATGCTGCCCCTTTGGCCCAAGTTCATCACCTCCCCACTCCTTGTTGCAGTTCCCTTCTCTGAACTCTTAACACGTGTATGGTCAGCGGCCACATGGTTGTTAATGATCCTCAACAGCTTACTCTACCCTCTCCCTCCAACAGCAGATCTTTTGCTACTTCGTACCTTCAACTACCTTCTACAAACTGATCACTGCTGTGTGTCTCTCTTTAGCTCAAACTTCTATCCTGAACTTCAAGTTTATGTATCCAACTCAGAAGAGACCTTCCAAAAGGTCCTATGGAACATCAGCCTCCCTGCTGGCACCTGCACCTATAACTCTGCCTGCTCTCTGTGTACTACAGAATGACTAAGGCCAGCCCTTATCCTTGTACCCTGGATCCCAAGAACATTGCTTTATAAGTTCTTTCGTTGATTGTCAGTTTTTTTTCTCTACTAGATATGATAAGGAAAGTAC